CCTGCCCCCCACCTCTGAAGCAGGGGGGCCCGGCCCTGCCCAGCACAGGAGTCAGGCACCTGTCCACTCCCCTTAACAACCAGAGTCCTTCCAGAGCCCTCTCAGGCCTGGAGGACAGTATCCCAGTGTCCAGGAGTCTTACAGACAGCCCTGGGAGAGGGGCTGGACATGATGCCCGCGCCACCCTGGAGGTGGTTTTTCAGTATCTCCAGGCTCAGGACTCCCCCAGTGACCGCCCACAGGGACTCAGAATCAAGGGCCATGGTCAGCATACTCCCTCTGCTGACCAGCAGAGACCTTTCTTCCGGGCAGCCCCCCATGGTCCAGGGGAACAGCAGCTTCTAGGGGGCACAGCATTTGGCCTGCCTGGGAGCGCCTTGGTTGAGATCCACTCCGGGGTCCCCATGGTGCCTCTGGCCTGCCTGCTCCTCTTCTCTCCGCAGTAGCTCTTGGGCTGTGAAAGGACAGTGCAGGATGGGGGTGGTGAGGGGGGAGGGCGGTCCCCATCTGGTTCCACCCTGCAAAACACTAGTCTTGGGAGACCCAAGGCCCCAGGGCACTACTGCTCACGTTCCTGTCCCTGGAGATGACCACGGGGCCCCAGAAACTCTCAAAAAACAGACGCACTGCCACCAAGGCCGTTCTGACTCATGGTGGCCTTGGGAGAGATTGGAGAACAGCCCCTGTGGGCTTCTGAGACCCGCACTCTTGATGGCCACCACTGGCCATTCGGTCTGTCAGACTGCAGTGGCCTGTGTGCTGCTGGGATGCTGTCACTCATGTGTCGCATGCCAGCAGGGCCACCCAACGTGAGCAGTTTCAGCAGCGCTTCCAGGCTAAGGACAGACCAGGAAGAAGGCATGGGCCTTTCCTTCTGAGGAACGCACCTTGGAGAAGGTTACGGACAGGAGCAGAGCCCGCTCAGCGGCTGGAAACCCCTTGAAGAGAAGCAGAACCCTGAGCGAGCACCAGGGGTGAGCCTCTCACGTCGGCACGCACTCCGAGTCCGACGGAGGGAGAGCTGCCTCCTCAAAGCAGAACCACCCATGATGGTGCAGACGGAGGAAAAGCTGTGGGGGTAAAGCCTCCAGGCTCTTGGTTTGCTGGTGGGGCACGACTTGCAGTGGGACGCACAGCTTCAGGTGTCGATTAATAATTGGAACTTGGAAAGGTACAACGTATGAATTTAGGAAATTGGAAGTTGTGAACAAATAAAATGGAACGCATAAAGAGCCACAGTCTAGGTGATCGTGATCTGAAATGGGCTAGAAGTGCCGTTTAGAACAAGCAGCTCACATGGTTTACTATGCTGCGAATGACAGATTCAAGAGGGGTGCTGTGACATTCATAACCCAACAGGACGTTCCAAGGTCTATCTTGAAGTACAAGGTGGCTGCCTGGGATAGGATCATACCTCTCCAAATACAAAGAAATCCAACCGATACAACTGTTGTTCACATTTATGTGCTAATCACCTAAGCCAGTGATGAAGAAATTGAAGAGTTCTATCAGCAACTTCAACCTGGAATCGACCAAGCATGCAATCAATATGCATTGATAATTATTGATGATTAGAATGCAAAAGTTGAAACAAAGAGCAAGGAACAGAAGTTAGAAACGATGCACTTGGTGACCGAAACGAAGCTGGAAATCATAGATTTCTGCAAGATCAACGACTTCTGTAAGACAGACACCATTTTCCAACAACACAAAAGGTCCAGAGGGAATGCTTAAGAACCAAATGGACACCATCTGTGGGAAGAGGCGATGGAGAAGCTCAGTATCAGCAGCCACAGTCGTTACATCATCTGGTGTCAATGTGAGAGGATGAAGAGGGAAGGGGTGGAGTGTAGCCTGTCAATCAGGTCGCAGCTTGACGGCCTCATTTGGAGACACTAAGGAGATAAATAGTTTGTTTGAGGTGGGACACATGGCTCACTCCTTGGGAGATATTGCTGCTAACAAGACACATGGAACTACACTAGTACCCTGAGCTGAAGGACCCATGGGGAGACCCGGCCAGTGCTGAGAAGCTTACAATGCCCACTGGATCCACAAGACTTCTCACTGACTGGCCTATGATCTTCCTGCATTCGGTGTCATTGCATGTGTTTCGTGAGTCTGAAGAGGACTTTATAGATAGGTATCGGACATATGGGGTAATATTGGACTTATGGACTTGATCTAGACTGGGCTGGGATGTTTTCTTAATGTACAATTACTCTTTATATAAAGCTCTTTCTTATACACATGAGTCTCCCTGGGTTTGTTTCTCTAGTCTACCAGGGCTAACACAGCAGCTAAAACCAGGCCAGGGGCCAACTGTGGAACAGAACAACAATTGCTCATATGTGAGTTCAGGTTGAACCTGAAAATAACTTAAAACAAGTCCTTGAGAGCCAAAATACAACCTTAAGTCTATCCCACCTGAATTCCGAGACCATCCCAAGAACAGATTTGACTCACTGAACCCTAAAGACCCAAGCCCCGGCGCACTGTGGGAAGACATCAAGAACATCATACATGGAGGGGAAAAATTCATTTTGGGGGAACAAAGATCAAAGTGGATGTCAGGGGAGACTCCAAAACTTGCTCTTAATCTCAGAGTAGCTAAAGAAGATGGGAGAAAGGATGGAGTCAAAGACCTGAATGGAACACTTCAAAGGGCAGCTGGAGAAGACAGAGCCAAAAGCTCTAATGAAATGTGCAAAGACCCATGGTTAGAACCCCAAAAGGGGAGAATGCGCTCAGCAAATCCTAAACGGAGAGAACTAGAGGAAAAATTCAAACCTCCCTTTGTAGTCTTCAAAGATTAGATGGGCGAAATGTTGAACCATGCAGGAAGCTGCGAAAGAGAACAGAAAGATTACACAGACTCCCTGAACCAAAAAGAACTGGTCGACATTCCATTATTTCAGGAGGTCGCACGTGAGCAGGAGCCAAGGGAGCTGAAGGCAGACGTTGAAGCAGCCCTGGAAGCATTAGCCCAAAACAAGGCTCCAGGAATGGATGGAACACCAACGGAAAGGTTTCAACAAGCTGACGAAGCACTGGAAGCACTCACCGTGCCAGGAAATTTGGATGACGACTACTTGGCCAACTGACTGGAAGAGATCCATATTTGTGCCCATCCCAAAAGAGGTGGCCCGACAGAATGCTCAAATTCTGGAACAATGCCTTTGATATCACAGGCAAGTGAGCCAGAACCTCCTGAGCAACTCCTAACAACTCCACAGGATCAGGCAGCCGCGCCTGTCTCCCAAGGAACAGCTGGTGGATTCGAACCGCTGAACTTGTGGTTAGCAGTCCTGGGCCGCCAGGGCTCCTTCGCTGAATCCCAGGATACCCTAAAAGGCGGGGGAGAAGCCAGCCACCCCTCCCGCCTGGCTCACCCACAGTGCTGAAGGCCTCGGTCACCTGGTGGTTCTGCTTGGCCGAGGTTTCTGCAAACAGCAGCCCTTTGCTCTCAGCAAACGCCTTCCCCTCCTGAGGGAAGCAGCCAGGAACCCTGTGTGAGTCAGGGCGTTCTGGGCTGCCCCTGGAACATATGCCCTCGTGCCCCGGAGAGACTGTAGGGCATTACTGCATAGGCCCCACAGTGGGTGGCCAGGGCCCTGAGTCCAGTGAGACCCCACAGAGACTAGAGGGAGGAGTGTGGAAGGAGAGGGGTGGGGAGGGGAGCTTGTCCTACAGGAGCCCAGGTGCGGCCACCTGCCTGGCTTCCAGGAAAGGTGCTAAGGCCTGTGGCAGCTGTCTCCTGACCCCAAGGCCTGGGTCATTCTTGGCAGAGGGGGGCCTCAGATTGGGGAAAGAGGGCAGAGTTGGGGCAGTGGAGCCCTCCCCTGGGAGGGGGCACATCAGTGGAGTCAAAGTCACCAGACTTCCAGCTTCAGACCCAGACAGGACCCCTGGGGAGGCAGTGGTAGGAGAAGCTGTCCCTCCAAGTCCGTCACCACCCCCACTGTCCCTTAGCTCAGTGCACTGTCCCTCCAGTTCATCACAGACCGTGTGTCCGCGTGCCTGCATAGGTTTGCGCATATGCATGGATGTATGCATGTGTATTTGGAAGATTATATGAGCACGTGAGGTGCATGTGTGTGCATGTTTGCTTGTATGGGTGTGGGTTTGTGTATATGTGTGAATGCACATGTGTGGGGCAGGGTGTATATGGGTGCATGTGGGTATCCATGTGAGTGCACATGTGTGGTACAAGTATCTGTGCGTGCACACATGTGTGGTATGTGTGTGCTTCTTCATGCACACGTGAGTAGTATGTGTTCATGTATGTGTGTAGGCTATGTGCATGCACATGTATGCAGATGTGTGCACACAAGTGTGGTGCATGTATGTACTGTGTGCACTTGGCCCCGGAACTGAGGTGGGGGGGGGGCTGGGATTTTACTGCTTTCGCACTGGGGCGGATGCTGCAGGCGCAGGCGCACCTCGGAGGTCACCTCCCGCTCCTCGGTGAGGTCCGTCTTGTTGCCCACCAGCATCACTACAACCTCGCTGGGCAGGAGCTCGCCCTCCAGGTCCCGAAGCCACTGCTGGGCCCTGAGGAAGGACTCCTGTGGGACGGATGGCAGGTCAGTAAAGCTCGGGGTTCCCAAGTATTGCCAGAAAGGGGCGCCTGTCATAAACCTGTGAACCCCACTGCTGCGAGATCTGGTCACCATGTCTTTCCTCAGCTTCACGAGGTCAGTGCAGCTGGTCCGCTCCTCACACCCTCCCCTCCTCCAGGACCCAGGGTGCCCTTGATGGACCCCAAACCAGGTCCTAAGTGCAGGACCCCTGGGGAAGACAGGTTCCTGGCCCTGCCTGGGAGCCCCTTTCCCCAACCTGCCCACAGCCCCTTCATACTCCAATACCCCGTCTAGATGCCCCTCTCCCCACCAGGCCCACAGCCCTCTCCCTTTGTAACACCCCACCTCCCACCCTGTACGCTCTGGCTTCCTGGCTGTGTACATGCCACCACCCCCACACCCCCACACCCCCGACAGCCCCCACCCACAGCATGGCTGGCCTCAACTTCCCAACCCCCCTGCTGGCTTGGGCCCTGCCCCCAGGAGCACCCACAGAGCCCTGCTCCCTTCACCACACCCCAGGGGGGGGGTGGACAGCACCCCGGCAGCACACTCAGAGGTTAGAGGTCAAGCCCCTCCGTGGCACTACAGAAGGCAGTCCTGGTGCTCTGTCCCCATGAGGAACTCGGGGAGGGTGCGTCCAGGGGCACCACGGATCACCATTCACCGCGAGAGGTCAGGGAGGTTTTTCTGTTGGTTCCATTGGGTCGGGTTGGGTTTGGGGGCGAGGCTGACACAAAGGTTCGAGGTTCTCGTACATCCAGGAGCGCCACGGAAGAAAGGCCCGGCGATCTGCTCCCAACAAAGCAGCCCTGCGGGGCTCTGCGGGCGCAGCTCCGCTCTCACACCCTCGGGCGCCGTGAGCTGCGGCCTGGGCACGCGCTGTGTGAACGGGCGGCCGCCCCTGTGCCCGTCCTTATATCCAGCCCAGGGGGCACCACAAGGATAGCACATGGCGATGGGCGCTGCAGAGGGTCTGAGCCGCGCACTCCACCTGGCACCGAGGGAAGCGGCGGGCGCTCACCTTGCTGGCCACGTCGTACACCAGCAGTGCGGCGTTGGCACCCCGGAAGTAGAGGCGGCAGACGCTGTGGTACTTCTCCTGGCCCGCCGTGTCCCAGATCTCAAACTTGAGCGGAGCGACCCCCACCTGCACCACCTTGGTGAAGAAGGCACCTGAGGGGAGGGGCCACAAAGCCAAACTCACTGCTGACTCAGAGCGACACCTCCCCACGCCCCTGTGGGTTTCAGAGACTGGAACCGCCATCGGTAGTAGAAAGCCCAGTTTTTACCCAAGGACCTGCTGGTGGTTTCGAACTGCGGACCATGAGGATCGCAGCCCAGTGCGTAACCACTACACCCCCAGGCTCCTGGAGCGAGGGAACAGAGGACTTCCATTCATTAAAGCCCAGCAAGTCCATGCAGCTGGGTTCTCGACCTGAGAGCAGAGGGGAGCCCTCCGGGTGCAGCAGCGAGCACGCCACTGCTCCCCTCAAGGTTGCAGGTTCCAGTCCCGCAGCCTCTCAGTAAAGATGGCGGCTCTGGAGACCCTGCCCAAGGTTCTGTCTTCTAGCGTCATACATGCCACTCACCAGCCGGGTGCCAGAGCCAGGGCTGCACAAGCCCCAGATTGGGCAGGAGACCCATGCACACTTGATGGGTCTGATCTCTGAGTGGGCCTTTAAACCCACACTCACTGCCATCCAGCCCATGCCAACGCATAGCGACCTACCACAGAGGCACCTGCGCCTGTGGGCCCACGCCTGTGGGAGCAGAAAGCCTCCTCTTTCTCCCATGGGGCAGCTGGTGGGCTTGGGTTAGCGGCCCAATATGTACCCCACCAGGGCTCCTTAGTGTGGCCCTTGGTCATCCCAGTTAGGAAGGGATGACCCGAGGTTTTCTGCTGCCACCTGTCTGTGCGTGTACTGTGTACTGTGTACTGTGTACTGTGTACGGTGTACTGTGTACTGTGTACTGTGTACGGTGTACTGTGTACTGTGTGTACTGTGTACTGTGTGTACTGTGTACGGTGTACTGTGTACCTTGTGTACTGTGTACTGTGTACTGTGTGTACTGTGTACTGTGTATGGTGTAATGTGTACTGTGTGTACTGTGTACTGTGTACTGTGACAGCACATGTGTTGCTGGGATCCTGGCAGCTAGGCCACCGGTCGTTCAAATGCCAGCAGGCTCAGCCGGGGGGGGAGGGAAGGGCAGGTGCCGCTTCCAGTCTCACAAGGATTGCTCCGGCCATCGGGAATGGAAACTCGGGGGAGCACACCGCCTGGGGGGGAGCGGGAAGATGGGAGTCCCGGTTGGAGACCTCAGAGTGCTCAGTGGTCTCCACAGTAGTCGCGGTGGCAGGGGTGGGGGCTCAGGGCGTGTCGTTCTGCCTGGTGTTGGAGCCCCCTCGGGTGGGCAGCGAGCAGCGGCATGCTAAGCAAGCACTCGGTCCACCTTTGAACTCAGCCCCTGCATCAGGAACCTGAGCTGATGGGGCTGGGGCCTTATTGCAGGGCCACCGTGACTTCACACGGCTTTTCATTTAGGAGGCACGCGAGGCACCAGGCACCACAGGGGATGCTGAGTGGGGACGCCATCTGGCCCAAGCTGTGAGACCCCCAGTGGGTCTGGACCCCTGCTGCTTCCCCAGCACCTGCGTGTCTCCCGGAGGGGCGCCATCTACACAGAAGACCTCACCAAGGGGTTTTCAGCACCCAGAAAAAGGCTGGGGTTTCCCTGGGAGTCACCTGGGGCTGAATCCCCACTCTGTACGTCTAACCCCACCCCTCACCTCTACCCCTATCCCTGAGATGCGCCCAGGTCACCTGGGGATGAGCCCCACTCTGTACGCCTAGCCCAGTACCCTGCATGCCCTCTGTGTCTGGGTGTGCTGGGCACAGCTGGGGTTCTGGGTGCGAAGCTGCACCCAGGAACACCCAGGAGCGTCCCTGCCCACCCCTGCACATGGGCCCACGGCTCTGGCTCCTCTATGAAAGCACACAGCTGACCCCAGCCCTGTGGCTCTGCATGTGTCAGCGAGACAGCACCCCCGGGGCCCTCAGGGCTGGTCTTCAGGGCGGGGCTCACCAGGCCTTTCTTCAGGGCACCTGAGTGGGAGCGAACCTCTGACTTCCCGCAGTAGCTCACTGCTCCACTGCCTGCGTTACTAGAACTATTCACCTAAAGGCTGACGGAGGGCGCTCTGCACATCCATCTGTCCAGCCGTCACTTACAGCCCATGGTGGGTACTTCCGTCTGTCCCTCTATCCTCACTCACACACCAGGGTGGGCAGGCTGCCTGTCTGTCTGTCCATCTGCCTATCACACCTCATTGTGGGCAGGCTGTCTGTCTGTCTATCTGCCTGTCACTTAAACCTCGTGGTGGGCAGGCTCTCCATCTGTCCATCACTTACACCCCACGGTGGGCAGGCCGCTTCTGAAGTCATCCTTGACGAAGCGGAGGGCCAGGCTGGATTTGCCGACAGACTCGCTGCCCAGGAGAACCAGCTTGAAGGTGTGGGCTGGGTCCGGGTCCAACATGAGCTGTGAAGACACAGGAGCTTAGAGTGGGAGCTTATCTGGGGCCAACAACTTCAGGGAGCCCAGCCCCCCGGCCGCTGACTGCACTGGGGCTCCTGCCTGGGGAGACCGAGGGCCCCTGTGTGGGGCAGAGTGGCCCCATAGCCCACGGAGGGGCTCAGAGGAGCCACCATGAGGACGATGAAGGACAGGAGGTGGCCCAGTCTGAGCTGATGGGCCACACTAGCAAGAGCCCTGGGCTTTGTCCTCACTGCTCACCGGGTTCCTCGGAGCACCTGAAACGTGCAGAGGGAACTTCCAGCGCTGGGAGCGGCCGGCCCCCTTTTTACAAAACCTCTGCCGAAAAGGAGGGCAACTTCTTGGGTCTGACACAGGGCGAGAGGAGCTGGGAGGCAGGGTTGGTGATAAGGCCCAGCCCAGCTTCACCCTGCTTATCCACAGGACTTCCGCATTCCGCAGGCAGGGAGCCCAGTCCAGGGAGCAAGAGGGGCCCCTTGCCTCTCCAGCACCCCAGTGCAGTGCAAGGCCAACACCAACTACATCCACAGCTCACTGACCCTCAGGCAGCACCGGACAGAAAGTTCGAAGGTCAGAGGAGGCCGCACACCT